AGCCCGGGCGGTTGTTGTGAAAGCAGCAGCGGTGGAGAGGCAGCGGCACGTCGGCAGCCTCTCTGCACGCCCCGTGTTCTGCCTTCGAAGGTGACTGTGCTCCTTTTGTTTGCGCGCCCCTCTGTCTCCCCAAGACCCCATTTCAGACCTGTCCGGCTGTTTCACACGTCGTCACCTCCAGACTTCTGGGGAGCTGTCTCGGGGCTGTACAAGCCTGAATACAGAGAGTCCGAAGTGCTACAATTCTTATTTTTTACAGTGGTTGATGCAGTTCCACTTTCTTACTATGCTGACTCAACTACAGATTTGCTACCGCCAATAGATAAGCAAGCACATGAGCTTGTGCACACAGGTACTGCTGTAGCTGTAGGTTGGATTTATGCTTTTGAAAAAATTACTAATTTTGTTTGACATGGTATTTGAGAAGACTTCAGGGAAAAAAAAAACAAAACAGCAGTTAAATCACTCAAATACACTTGTTTTATATTAAAACCTGAACTGTTACACTTTAAACAATGTAAAATCTAAGTTACTAGATTAAGCTGTAGCTGTGTTTATAAAAAGAAGTGAGTGATTTAATTGGATAGATTAGTACCAAAAGAGTAACTTAGAAGGGAAACACCAGAGCTGGAAGCAAAAATACCTTAAAACAGAACCATTTACCAGGTTACCTAAAGCTTGCCGTTTACCCTCAAGTAAAGCGAGCTCCATCCAACTGAATCTACAAAATAAACTTAGCGCAGTATTGAGCTGTAAAAATATTTAGGGGTGCCCTGTCCTACTGTTCTTGCTTGTGGGAAATCTATTTCCACTTCCCTGCTTCTTTGCCAGAGCCCTGCAGCTCCTCGAGAACATGGCTTTGTCTCTTTACATTCCATGCACAAGGAAGGATTCTTCTTTCCATTCTGACAAAAGTATTTCATTATATCATTCACGTTTTATAGTAGAACAACAAATCATCCCAAAAGACTGGTGATGTCCTGGAGGGGTGGGTGTGTCTTGAGTTTCATTTGAGAAGATGTACATTAGAAGAGAATGACTTTGATGGTACATGATCCCTGAAAGCAATTACCGAAGTAAGCACGAACTGAAAAGAGAGAGAACGTCTCCTTATACACTAGAGTTCCTCCTACAACTACGTTCTTCTCTGGCATGAGAAGTATTAAACATGCGTGGGACTTGAAGCGAGAGATCATCTTCCATGTTCCCTTATCCCAGTATTAAATTGGAAGTTTGCAAGACCTGAAAAATTGCTGTGGCTCTGCACCGGCATAACGACGCAAACACTTGGCACTGCAGCTGACCTACTGGGTAACAGCAGAAAGCAGACATTTAACGTGGCCAAATTCAGGTCATCGGCACTGCTCTGACCACAGGTGGTCTTCAGAGAAGCTCTCAGCGTAATTCTGTGTTAATTTCTTTCTGATTACGGAGCTTGCCCCTTTGTTCCCAACAGTTATTTAAGAGGCTTTTTGATCAGCCATTCACTTGGGAAGTTGGTCGTTGCCTTTGTCGATGATTTTTGAAGCTCCTCAGCTAAGGCGTGAACATCGGCGCTCCTTTCCCCTCGGGGGTTACCGCTGTGGCCGACAGCCTGCTGGCGCTCCAGCACGCACATTGCAGCAGCAGGGATAAGCAGAAGCTGTCCAAAGGTTCTCTTCTCTAGAATGGTTCTTCAATAACCAGACTGTTCTCTCTTTACTTTTGTTGGCTCTTCTTGCCTTCCTTCGCATTTAAAAACCACAGATTCCTATTCCATTAGACTCAAATTTTAAGATGATCAGGAATTGTATGCAAAGTGTTAGACCAGGTATTTGAGTGCTGAGGTTTATGGCTATAAATAGCCGACATTGCCCTGATAAGAAAAATCTTTTTCCCATCAGCAGGAAGATATGTAAAGAACATTCATGCCTCGGTGTGAAACAGAATATTTACTGTATAATATTTGAGGCATAATTCCAAAATACTCCTGTTTATGATCCTCACCGCTCAGTAACTGCATGTTTATTAACTTGACTAAGCACAGTGCTTTCTGGGAGCACCGAGCTGATGTCATGTGCAAGTTATGAGCAAACTGCGAGGTCTCCGCCTGTTCACAGACTCGTTCCGGTATGCCTGTCACCTTCGAGAAGCCTCAACGCAGCTTAGGAGCATCGGGCACTATTGTGTGGCTTTGTGGTTTGGTTTTTTCCCTAAACCGGTACTAGTTGTTGGCTCACAGGCTGAGTAGTCAGGATTTATGTAGTAATTTTGTTTAATCCCAGACATGCCAGCCTGCAAAGCCATCTCTCGAGAAAAATACCCGTTGTTACACTTGACAAGGCCGAACACCGAACTGCAGTTAAGTCAGCTGTAACCAGTATTATTAGTGTTTGTGTGTACTTTTGGGGTTAATTAGCACAAGAGGAGATGCCTGAAAACTACAAAAAGCAGCTTCACAAAAAAAAGTATCCTGTTGCCTGAATTTGTTCTTCTATAAAACAATAGTTTGTTAAATGCTGACTGTTCTTTCACAGTTTTCTATACAGGAAAGAAACGCTCTGGCTTGCATCGTCACAGTTCTCTTACAGGGTTCGCCTCACCTCTTTAACACAAATCAGCCAGAATTTTTGTTATTCTATGGTCTGGTCGCGGTTTAATGTAATTTTTCAGTATAATTTAATGCCATTTTGGTTCCTTCTATGAAAACTTAGCAGTTCATCTGATTGACCTGTATTGTAATATCTCTTGCTATGTCATAATTTTAAATGAATTTGTTAAGGAGTACTCGTCTAACTCCTTTTTCTTGTAATGAATGAAGTAGTTCACTTACCTAATTTTGTCTGCAAGAAGTATAGGAGGAGACACCAAATCCATTAAAATAACATTCCCTGAAATCACTACTGATGGTGCTAACAAAAAGGACTTTTTGTTTTCTTTTTAAAGGTGCAGAACGTGTCATTACATTGAAAATGGAAATTCCTGGATCCATGCCACCTCTTATTCAGGAAATGCTGGAGAACTCGGAAGGACATGAACCACTGACACCAACCTCAAATGGAAACACTGCAGAACACAGTCCCAGTATCTCGCCTAGTTCGGTGGATAACAGCAGTGTCAGTCAATCCCCTATGGTGCAATAAGACATTTTCCAGCTACTTCAGACATTCCTAAGACCTTATGTACAGGGATGAAAAGCAAGAAAAACATTTTTACTGCTGCTTAGTTTCTGGACTTAATATATATCTATATATGTATGTGTATATATATATAGATAGATAAAAACTCAACAAGGACCAAGAAATTTTCGTATGTATCGATATATACTCCTTGCTGTTTAAACTCTTAAAACTAGAAAATGCAAACTTTTGAAACTCTAAATCAGCCATTTCATGCAAAAAAAAAGAAAATAGTTAAGCTTCTGTTTCTTCCTCTGAACACTCAAGATTGCATGGTGACAAGACAGATCTCAAACTTTAAATTCTGGTTGCATTTCTGATGACTTTGTACATACAAATGTATGGCTGTACTTTCTGTACTGGATGTTTGGTGCTTTCCTTTTGTCTCTCATACCTAAAACGACCAAGACACCAACCATATGAAATGGACTACTGTACGCATCCAGAAAAGGAAGTTGAAAGGACCGTCTGATTTAGTTCAATATGAAAACTTGTCTTTGATGCCCTCAGTTTGATTCTCCTTCCTTGTAAAAAGTATACAAGAACCCACTGCACTCGCAGAAAAGACATCGGTATCGGCATTAACTGCTAGATCAGTTACTCGGCTGTCACTTGTTCCACTGTTAATGTCACTTTAAAGTTTGAAGAAGTGGTTTCTTACCTGGCTGGTGACCTAGCCTACACAATTACCTAACTACTACATTTCTACAGTAATGATAGCCTCCAAGGCAGAAACACTTTTCAGTGTTACCATGTTTTTGTTTACTTGTTCACAAGCCATTAGGGAAACTTCATGGGATGAGAACCAGCAGACTCATTTACGGCTTTTGAATGGGTGAGTCTAGGGTATTTCCTTAATAATCGACTGCCAGGAACCAGCTGGGTTATCCAGGCTTCCTGGTGCTAGGGAAGTACAGCTAGGACTTCCAGAAACACAAGGAGAGAATCTGCTGCCTTGGCCTTGTTAAATCACCATGAAGCAGAGTGAAAACTGTGGTAGAATGGTTAACAGATTTAAAGTGTCAGTTTCTTAGGTTTCATTTAAAGCACTAGTGGATTTTTTTTTTTTTATATATTCTAGCAAGTCTGTGATGTACTTTCACTGGCTCTGTTTGTACATTGAGATTGTTTAACAATGCTTTCTATGTTCATATACTGTTTACCTTTTTCCATGGAGTCTCCTGGCAAAGAATAAAATATATTTATTTTAAAAAAAAAAACTAAACAAACCTGTGTAGAAGTAGTCCCTGTAGTCCAAATTCTATACACGCACACACACACAGAGTAGTTTTCCATTTTTTAATGTTTAAACTTCATTTCAAAAAGCAGGTTTGCTGTTTGCAACCATGACAATTAAAATGTGCTTTAGCACAGCTGTCTAGAACATCTCTACAAGCCAGACAAATACATGACATTTCAATGAGTAAAAAAGAGCATAAAACTGTAGGTGTAAGAACAAAATGTTAAAATGCCTACACACAATAATAAAAACCATCAATTACATTATCACATAAAATAAGTAGGTCAAATGTACAAAAGTTTGCGACAGAAGGGACAAAAGGACAACACAAGTTATTTGTTGGAAAACATTTGTGTGCTCTTTGGGCACTTAATTAAACATATCAAAATCATCATCTTCATCAGACTCTGCAAAATATTTAACTTCTTTTCTAGCCCGGCCTGTCCGTGGCTTTGGGGCAGTTTCGGAGGCAAAGCCTGACTGAAAGATTTCCACATCGGAATCCTGGTCAAAAGCGGCCTTCTTGGATTTCTTTAGAAAAAAGACAAGACAGATCAGTTGTGATGCTGTCTACGTTTTCCCTTTTAATACTCAGAATTGAAGGAAACCTCCTCTAACACCTCATTTCCTAAACCCCCATTATCATAGTAGCAATCTATAAGAAGAACATGTACCTTTTATGTAAAATAAAGTAATCCGTTAGAAAAGAGCAGAGATGGAACTGACCTTGCTTGGCGTTGATTTAGGTGTTTTCTTCCCAGGATTGTAGTCACCTTCATTTTCTGAACTGGATGCTTTCCTTTTCTTTGCCCCTCTACCTTTTCCTAGGTGACAGAATATGATTTAACTTTCTTTTTTTTCTTTTTTTTTTTTTTTTAAATAAAATTCCAGACTTGAGCAAACTAAAAAAAAAAACCCTAGTGAAATTACTTTAACATGCAGGCATAGTAAAGTTCAACTTTAGTTTACAACTCAAGCTTCTTCGCAACAGCAGTAAAAATACAGTACATTTTCTCAGTTTTAAATCTTCTATGCCTCTTCCAAAGTTACCATTCACTCTAGCAATTCAAGCTGTTGGTTCAAGACAGGGACAAACTTCATTAGCTCAATGACTTCTAGACTTCTGCAGTACTTCAAGTCCTCGCTCACCTTCTGTCCTGATTACACAGCATTACTTCACCTTTACTATTTAGTAACCTTACTGTTAACCTCAACTATTGACACTGGCACATCCTTTACAGACTCCTCCGATTACACCACATGGTGTGAGGGCTCTGACAACTGAGAACTGGCTACCAAAGAATTGGTTTAAAAAGCCAGAAATCGCTACTTACTAGAATTACTACCAGAATTTTACTGTCTTGTAAAAAGCTGAGATCAAAGAAAATAAGCAGTAGCCAGTAGAACAAAAAAAAAAAAAAAAAAAAAAAAAAAAAAGGGGGGGGAAGGGGTTGGAGCTATTAAATACATTCCCAACAGTGAAGGTCAGATAAAAAGTTCAGGCGTTGTTTGTCAAGAAAAGTCAGTACACTGTGTATCGTCACAGAAAAGGCTCACGGCCGAGTAATCTACTAGCAATTAATTAATTAACTAATAAATCAATATGGTTCTAATTTTAGAGACACTAGTTCTGCTTCCTTATAAGAAATGATTGTGAACCTGTGTTACAGAGAGCACAGAGGTGAATGCTGAGCAGCACAGCACCAAAACTCTTACCTTTGGGTGCCGCAGTCTTCTTTGGAACGCCAAATTCTGAATCCGAGTCAGAGTTTACAGTTTCCACCTTCTTGGCCTTGGGAGCTCTTTTAGGTTTAGAGGGCACATCTAGTTTTGCTGTTAGAAGTTAGAGATACTAAATATGTTACATTCACGTATTGGTTAGAAGTATTAAATTTTATTAGATACTCCCATTACAGCATACATGGCAGGTATTAAAACAAGATGAGTGGTTTCTGCACGTGGGGAAAACATACTTCAGCTTTTATGCTAAAACTGCGTGGATTAAACAGGAGGTTTCCTTTGTCATACTTTGAGATGTATCAGTGCATCAAGTCTCAGTGGTTTTGATTAAATATGTTTTCATCTTTTTGAGTACAAAACAGGTTACTAATAACTAAAGCAGCAACAGAAGTTCTCCAGGTTGGCTACTTTAAACAAACAGGTTTGGAGACATTACAGTGTTTACAGATACAGCTTGCTGCCTGTGACATTTTTGCCTTCACAGTGGTACACCTGCAGGACAACCTTCCCCATGATTGCTGCAGGCATTTGAGAAACAGTGCATCTGACTTCTGTCAATCATCTCGGTGAAAAGGAACTTCAGAAAAAGCAGAAAGGACAGGAAAGGGACATATCTGTGGATTTCTTACAGAATGTCAATTACTGCTATGCAACTAGTCGTGCCATCTTTAAAAAAAAAAGTCAGTACATTGACGCCATGGGGGACAAGGGATAGAATCACATAATCATTAGGTGGGAAAAGACCCTTAAAAGATCACTGGCTAATGTGCTCTGTATGCCTGTAGATGAGGCAGTCTTTCGCAGAAACCTCAGATATGCTACTGACCTACACTCTATCGATCGGCCACGAATACCTCAAAGATGATGAGACACACGTACAAATACTCCAGATAAATACCAGGAATGTGGACATTTGTGAGAGCTCAAGCTTCCATTTATGGTATCTCTAGTGGAACATGTTCCGACACCAAGAGCACGTCTCCACAAATTTTTTTGGCTATGATGCTTTAAACTGCTACCCACTGGAGAATCACTGCACAAAGACAATTACGTCTTCCCAGCTTTTTGTGAGAATACCTACTGGGTAGTCCAAGTATCAGGGCCTGACAACACAAACAGTAAAGCTGTCTTTGGCATCACAGATGGAAAAAAAAAAAAAAAAAAAAGGTTGGTTTCGGTTATGGCAGCATTTCAGATAAGATTTAGGAATAGGAGCAACAATGCTTAGGATGGAAGAAATCAGGAACCATCTTTGAAAGCAACTTGAAATAGCTCTCTGTAGGTATCACCTCAACTGGGACAAACCAGCTGTATTAGCGTAAAGTAAAACTAAAAGTAAGCCACAAAGACCTATCAGTAAGCCTGAAAAAAAGTACACGGCAACTGAAAGCAGAAGGAATACTTTCTAGAAGCATCACCAAAAGCAAGTAGCTAGTTCTCAGTAAAGGAGAAGGCAGCGTTACCTGAAGGTACATGATTTTAGGTTGCATTATGCAATGAAGTCCGTCCTTCATACAAGAAAAAGCTTTACCAGCATGAGAAACATAGACTAGTGGGCAGGGAAGGGCATTCATAAGAAGTTTCATCAACTCAAAGATGACAAGCAGAAATTGTGACCAAGAGAATCTTAGTAGAAAAGGGAACCATTTTAGATCTAGGTGACATTCAAGGTTTAGACATCCTCCTACAGGACTGTGTATGTTTTGGCCAGTTAACTGTGCCTTGCACAGTTCCTCATGCTGTTCATGTGAAACCTGCGTCCCAGACAGAAGCCAGGTATGCTCCATTGACGGGTACGACCCAGCACATACACCGTGAGATTCAACTGTCTTCAGCTGGCCCCGAGCCCTCTGGTTTGTTAACTGGGGTTACAAAAGGGGCAGGCTTCTCACTGAGAAACAAGGAACTGGCGAGAAGGCAGTAACTGGGGAATGGAATAGAGGCATGACACACTGCCACAAACACTAGACTTGTTCTTCCCTTGACACAGAGCCTGTCGTCACTGGTCAGCTCCTGTCCAGTCTGCCTGCAGAAGACCAAGTCCAAAGGACAGCAAACCTCTTAATTGTCATCTAGTGGCTAAAGTAATAGTGTCCATGACTTCCAGAACATGCATCTCCCTCTGCACGAACTCTAGTGGTATTCCGAATCGCTACCTTAGATTATATACGTAGTGCCTGCACAGTGCCTGCAATCGGCTCAGCCAAGCTCTCCACTAGGTATCATGACATGACATGGAAGTCTGC